CCCCCCCCCCCAAAAGAGGAGGGGATGCAGGGGAGAGGAGTTGTGGGTTCTGCATGCTTGGAAGGTGCCATCCTGAGAGTGATCTATAGTGGCTGAGGATTATTTCTTGAGCCATTTGAAAAATGATGGCTGAATAAACTTCCCAAAACTATAAGCCTTTCCCAGATCCAAATACTAGCAGAGACACCTAGTCTTAATATTTCTAAGCAAAGGGTCTTTTTTTAAGTGGGATCTTCCTCGTGGAGATCACTGCTTTTTCATTGCTTTACTACCTTTTATACCAGTAAAGTGCATGATATTTTCAGTGATCAAGCCCAGACTATCCTGGTTGGAGTGAATGGTCTAGTGGAGAACAAGACTGCCACTGCTTCACATTTTTCTCTTAGTCCCCTAGGTGGCAGGCTTGGACAACAATTTGCACCTGACCCCTAACCATGCATGTGGCACAGACTTTCTGTAGAGGACTTTCAAGTACTTGCCACTGTTTAAAGCAGTTGCTACAACTTCTTGTGTGCTTTGTTTTCTTTTGAGTGTACCGGTGGTGGTTGTTGTTGTTTTTAAATAGTGACAAGTCCTGCTTTCATGAGCATGAAGAAACTTGAGTACATCAAACAATGGTACATAATAGTTCCTGAGCACAGCAATCTGTCCCTCGAACTTGTTGGCAGTTGGGGAGGTAATAGTACTCATTCTTGACTCTGGGGTTTTTTGTTGTGAGTTTGTTTTTTGTAGCTGAGCCTCAACTAAATCTTTTTAGCAAAGTAGATGGACCACAACAGGCACCAAGTTCTGTGACAACAGAAGGCAACACTTTTTATAAATCAGTTGGGGTTTTTTAACCCAAATTAATTTTAAAGTTGCTTCAAGGAACATCTGTGTATGAAGCCAACCGTTACATGTGTCCCAAATTGGGAGGACTTGGCCCTTCTTTAAATAAGGCCCTGTTTTGGATCAAGGTTCTTAACCTTCCTATTTACCCATTTTGGAACCCCTAACTCTTGTAAATTCCCCCTCCTCTCATAAGTGAAGCATGTTGCCGATCTACTTGTGAACCTGCTGGATGCATCTTCCATTCAGCATAACTTTGCTATCCATGAAGTGCCCCAGGTGCTGAAAGCACTTAAGGGGGCAAAACACAAATTCTGTGCTATAGGACGGAAGCATGCAATTCCACTAGCCAGAACTTAAACTGATTTCTAGACTCGGGCAAGAGCTGCTAATTGCCAGTATGGAACAGGCTGTGGTCTGGTGATTTGTACTTGTCTATGATCGCTAATCTCAAAACGGGCGCAGAACCTGCCAGTTTGCCTAGACCCTTGCATGAGATGATCTGTATAGGGGATTTGAGTGCCTTACAGGGGGGAAAAATAAGCCTAAATCTGCAGGCACTGTGGAAGATTAACTTCTCTCTAGTTTATGCTGAAAATAAACCTGGTAAGGACAGCAAACCTGACAGAAAATGAAAGGTCCCTCTATCTGTTAATGGGCCTGCTGTCAGTACAGCTGGTTACAACCCTACAGAGTACCCTTAGAAAACTATGGTATTTTTTCAAAAGTGTTTTGTTTTTTTTTCCTAAATTTGAATTGAGATCTCCTGCAGAGAAAAGACTCCAGTGTTCCTAACCAAAATAGAGCAGCTGGCTGGCTCCACTCCCCTCCAGGCTTCTTGTGCTGCCTCAACTTCCAGGGGCTGTTCAACTACTGGAGCTTCCCTGCTCTACTCTTCAGGATGTCCTAGGCCTACAAGCTGTCCTTGGAAAAACCTGGGAGCATTGGTCCCCTGCTAGAGGTGGCTATTCCCAGGGCCTCAAGTCTCCCAGCCCAGTGATGAAACCAGAAAACCCCAAAGCCCTCAAATCCAAGGCAAGGCTTCCCTAAATGCCTAGTCTCTCCAGCAGCCCACCACATGAGCTGGCAGGAACCCAGGTTGCTTTTCATTGCAACCCTACCTCAACAGCATGTAAAAGACTTCCACCGATCAGCTTTTAGCTTTTGAGGAAAAGCTGTTAATTGGAAGTTTCCCAGTTGGCTCTGATTTGAGAGGGACAGGTGGTTGGCAGTCTGCTTCCTTTTAAAGGTCCAGGCCACCAGGTGTTGGAAATAGGAACAGCTTCTCTAATAACCAGTGCAGCTATGGAGATTTACACTGTTGTGAGGATCTTGCACATTTAAAATGTGGTGAAAAGGGTCTTCAGGGCTAGAATCTCCTTTAGGGTAAAAGATGGAAATGAATGAAGTAGGTGAGGTAATGGGTGACACCACTTCAAAATTGTTCCTACCATGGCCAGGCTTACTGGCACTGTTTCCCTATTCAGTCGATGCAAGATTGGTGCTATGGAGGACAGGAAATCCTTAGTCTGTGCTGAGTAAGAAAACATTGGAAATTCTCATACTGTAAAGCTTCTACAACCACCTTTGTACTGAGAGAGGTGTTTGCCTGGGGTGTTTTCCTACAGTCTGATTTGTCTGCTACCTTTCTTCCCCTTATTTTCTCTGTTTTCTTAATACATTTGTTTCATGTTGAAGGGGAGCAGACAAAGGAAATGAAGTGGTTTGCGCCAAGGACCATAGCAACACGCTATACAGCAGGGGGAGGCTTACCTGAGAATTATAAGTGGCATATAACTTTGGTATATCTGTTATACTGTCTGCTGCCTTTCCAGCTAGTGTGCTACTCTCTGTGCCCTCAGTTGCTCTTGCTGGTTTTCCCATGCCACTCCTTTTGGAGGGAAAGACCAGAGCCCCTTTCTTAATCTCCTGTCCAAGCAGATACTCCTTCCTTTGTTTATCTTTGGGAGGGGTGCTTATTCCTTTTCTGGGTGTGCCAGGGAGCTGGCCCAACCAATAGACTCCAAAACAAGGTGCTTGAGGGCAGGTTATCTTATTGGCAGTTGTGTAAAATAGCTGATGCTGCTTAATGCGGCATAATCCTAGTTTAAACCAAGTCCTGTACTATTGCTTTTCATGGGGAGACAACGACAGCCAGATTGTCATCTGGTGTGGCCTGGTGCAGCTCTAGGGAAGCCAGGCTGCTTGACACCTGTTGTGGACCTGGCCTTGCACATTTACCCAGTTCATGATGTCAGTCCTGAGTCAATATACAATGACTCGGTTCACATCTTCCTTTGGACAACATTCCTTCTAACTAGCCCAACCTTTGATATTTATTTGCCACACCCCCATTATCTCCCATGCTGATTGTTTTTTGTAGTGATACTTGATCTTCTCCATCTTGATACAGCTGCTGTGAGCTAAGGGGTAGAACAGGAGCAGGCAATTATTTTGGGCGGAGGGTCGCTTACCCAGTTTTGGCAGGTTGTCGAGAGCCACATGGGTAGCCGTGCCCTTTGACAGGTGCCCTGCTCCTTGGTCACCATCTTGGGACCAGTGTCCCAGGGTCAGCACCAGTGGGGCACAGGCTGGCAGGGGTCTGTGGAGCCAGGCTGGGCTGCACCAACTGGGAGAGGGGGGAGCTGGCCCCACTCCATAGAGCCCCTGCCATCTGGGACCCCGTACTCCTGCCACCCTGCTCTGGGCCCTGCTGGCACTGGACCCAGGGCACCTGTGTGGGCCCCGTGTTCCTCCTGGCTCCCCACCCACTCACTCCCAGTGCTCCCCAGCCCTGTGGTACAGGCAGGGGGCAGTGCACAGCTTTGACTCCATGCTCACTGGCAGGGAAGAAGCTGGTGCTGAGCATGCAGAAAAGCAGCCCCTTGCCTGCCCTATATCCGGTGCTTCCTGCTGCAGGCGCCTGCAGCCCACATAGCTGTCTGGAGCAGGCACAGGCAGCTCTACACAGGGTGCAAGTGGCTGCAGCCTGGGGCGCTGGCCATGGGGCAAACAAGGGGCT